AGTTCCATTTGTGGTAGCCATTTAAATTTAATATATTAAAGTCATTAAAGCATTTTGTGACGTTTGTTAATGTCTATGATGACCAAAGATTGTTTCAAAAATGGTACAAGCCTTATTAACGTTTGATGATAAATGCAAACGTTATGACGTTTCGGTGCATATGCCAAAAGTCATGAAGTCAAGGCCGTAACATTTAACAAGTCAAAGGGGCAATAAAATACATCTTCTACAGGCACCGCGAAACAATTATACCTGTTCAATATTCCATGCTTTATTGAAAGATGGTCACCATGCATGTGCCACGGAGGGGTTCGCAAAAAGATGTCAAGCCCCTTCAAAGGTTAGTTTGTGATGTCTCCACGTGCAAAAATGAGATCATAAAAACACCGGTGCAGGGTTTCCGGAGAAATGTTTAATTCTTGCCATATGTTTCGTACTGGAGGAGCCTCCAAAATAACTATTACTCCTGCTTTGTAAGAATTTTGTCAGGATTACTAAGGACAAAAAAGTCACCTGTTGTGTCCGTAGCAACCATTACTTCAGCCAGTTGAAGACAATCCCTAGACGATTCCACGCTAACATATCGAGCAGACACATTCAGGTTGGCCAGGAAATCAATCACTGCTCCATTGGTAGCTTGAGTCGATGTAACAGGATCTCCTATCTGTGTGTTTTGTGACTGATCTGAGTTCATACCAGCCCGCACTATGGCACCTTCCAGTCTTTCCCCTAGTATTTAGAAATTTAGAAATCCGACATTCTTGATGTAAAGTGAATTTGAAGGTTTTCAGTATAATGCAAATCTTTGATAATCGATTTGATTCCGTTTAATTTCTTTGTATAGATTGCGTGGTTAAAATAATCAGTACAAAGAAAGGAGCGCAATTCCTCGTAGACTCGTTTATTGTTATTTATAGATTCATATTGTATTACATATTTCGTATACATTTTCACTTCGTCAAATGAAAGGAGTCTAAAGTCCAGCCCCTATTAGTCTCCCTAGCATTTGTAGCATTAAAATATTTAGAAATCTGACATTCTTAAGGCAAAGTGAATATTTACGGGTTTAATTGTAATACGAATCTCTCATGATGTAATTGCTGGATCCAACACCGCAAATGGGTTGTAATTCGAATGTTTATGACATACAATTTGTTTTTACGAGTGATAAGATGTGGGAAGATTAAAATTGTAATGTTACTTACTGCGCTCTAAATAAAACAAGGTTCATAATTTTCGACCCTAACTAGCTAACTCATTGCAGCCTGTATTCACATACTAGTCCTCCACCTGATTTGATGCCATTAGATTCTTTGCATTAATGCTCAGTGCACAGTAAGGATCGCAATGCCATTTTGACTCATTATTATTCATAGACTCATATTACATTTTCATTATCATAAGAATTTTGACTTTTCATCAACAAATGGAGCCCAAACGTCTACTGCATTGAAAGATATTTTGTGCAGTGATAAATAACATGATCATTATGATGGAAGTCTTACCACAGCAATCCCTCCTGTTGACAAGAGTGATTTTCGTCAAGGAGTAGATCTCCTGCAGGTCAATCTTCCACCACTGAACACTGGGGCATTCTGTGAAAAGTTGCGTGTGAAGAAAGAACATTATGTAACGATTGCACCTGACATTGAGCTTGCAAATTCACATTCGCAAGATCATTTCATACTAAAACACGCATTTACTTACCAGGTAATAAATTGCAAATGGTAGCTTGAGTCGTAATACAAACTGATACTCAAAATAAACCCTTAGTACCACAAATGACGCACACTGAAACACATAGAAACTTCACCTGTGTGAGAAATTGTGTCGGGATCTCCATCAACTGCTCTGTTCGCTGACCAATCAAGGTAAGTACTGCTCTGACTGGTTGGTTTTCCAGTAATGTCGATGATACTGCCTAAAATCAAAGTTATAATTAAATATTACTTTGTGGAAAATAATGACCAGTACGTGTTCACAATGTCAAATGACACCGACCTTGAATGACGGGAATGACAATAATTTTGTTTTTGATAAGTGTTGTTGCGTGGTGTGTAACAAACAAACAACTTTATTCTCATGTTCTGCACAAGTATTACAAAGTGTTTTTGTTGGTGCTGATAAATTCTTCTCTGGTTTCTTGAAACTTAACTTCGAAAATATCAACAAAGTGTTTGAAAGTTCCTATATCAAATTACAGCTGTGGACTTCCATATAAGGCCCGAAGTAAATAGTTTTCAAGTGCCTTGAAATGTCCTGAAATCAGTCAGGTTGAGAATTATGTAACATCACTGCAATCTGGGACCGTTGGGAGGAGATAATTTGAGCCGTCCTCTGGTTCCAATTCTTGTGGCAATTCCATTGCAGTAAATTACTGCTGTTAATGAATCTCCGCACCTGTGTGATGTTCCCATAGGTGAACCACAAACAAGCAGCAAACCAGAATAAAACGGACAATTTTATATTTTTGTATCACCACCAATTTGTGATGATGTGAATATTTTTTCAATTTAGCAGTCATTTCATATTTAGCTTCGTCATGAGCCTAAATTGACAGTGTTTGTTCCAACAGAGTTCTCCTTTTAAAAACATTTTCTGTCAAACCCCCAAAAGAAAGAGTTTATGATAGTTCCTTAGCCCCCCTAAAAAATTGGCTCAATGCATATGTACATGTTTGTGAACGTTTCATGCCTCAGTAAGGTGTCATAGTGGGTTTGACAAGCTATCATTGTTTAAATGGCTGCCACGTCCCTACAAGGCTAAGTTCAGAAAGTAAATTGTATGGTTTCGAAGTTTCACCCGTTCGAAAAATAGCTACAAACGGATGAGTTTAGGAATGTTTCACATTTGAAGGTTTTACCCTCTATGCCTGTTAGAAATTCCGTGGTTTAGAAAAACGTGGTTACCATGAAAATTATCCAATAGCACGGTGGGCATGATGAGGTCGTATAAAAATGGCTGCCACTCCTTTCAAAAGGCGTACGCTGGCTCCACATCGAAGTTCCTGCTTTTTTACGTTAATTTAAACTTCAGTGCCAAGGTTTCATTTTTTAATGAAAAGGTGCACAATCCTTTGTTCTTGGACTGAAACTTACTGGAAACCAACTTTGGCCTCCAGTTTATAAGATTTGTTAAAGATCACAAGGGGAATTGAAACAAAACTCACTCGTCGTCTCAGTTGTAACCATTACTTCAGCTAGCTGAAGGCATTCATTCCCATACGATTCCACACTAACATATCGAGCAGACACAGTCAGGTTGGCCATGAAATCAATCACTGCTCCATCGGTAGCTTGAGTCGATGTAACAGGATCTCCTATCTGTGTGTTTTGTGACTGATCCGAGTTCACACCAGCCCGCACTATGGCACCTGTCAGTCTTTCCCCTGCGTGTGTAAAATGTTAGCATAATGTCACAAATAAAAAGTGTCTTAAGTTACAACAGCAAGTCGGGAGCAAAATTCACAGAAAAACTTACGGGCTGTATGTTGTGTTTAAGCCATAAATTATGTAGAACATGTGTGTGTGTAACATACGGGTTATCATGCATCGGGATTAAAGACGGGTTACACTGAAAATAAATACGTGTGGATTCGTATTCATTAAGGCACGTATTTTTTAACGTGTTAAGTTACGTGCGCCGTGGAACTTGCATGTATGACTGCTGTTAAGTACGAACCTTAACACGGAGTGCGAAGAATTATTCACAAGTATCGTACAAGCTGTTCATGTATTAGCTACATGGCAATTGCATGAGGTTGTTTACAAGTTTTGATATGTTGGAAGACTGAAGTATATTCACAATTAGATCATTTATTCATAAATACCTCAGACAGTTTTCCTGTTCAACAAAGCAACACGTGACCGTGCATTATCATTTGATAATCCCCACTGAGATTTGATAATGCTCGCTGCGTAAAAAAAACCACTCTGGCAACTGGATACACTCGTTTAATTATGTGTTCAAGAATGTGTTTTCATAGTCTAATCGTCCCTAACCGATTCGAATGGTTACGTCGCTTCTTCACTTTAAACCACGCCCCTGCGGCCCCATTGCGCATAGAGTCACATGGAACCGGGTGTTAATAACGGGCAACTGTAGTGTTCGTCCAATTGAGCCAGCAGTCAGTGGTGCGTCCGAGTGTATGACGGAATCACTTCTAAACCGAATAGGTCAAGAGTCTGCGTACGACGCGGCACGCAGAGCGCGCCGGGCGCGCTAAGTCCATATGGATGCTTTCTGGACAACTTGCACAAGGAATATACCATGAAGTGGACGGGGGTGTTCGGGAAAGTGAAAGTAAAGTTTTATTATAGAAGCGTTCAAACGCATCATATTCACTGAGAGATTAATGAACGATTGATATGCGTCCTCGAACCAATTAAAACCCCTCAACAGATATCTTACCAAACAAATCGTGTCCTTTAAATTTGTGAATTTATCATATGTTTTGGATTTCTGCTGTCTTAAATTCCATCAAACAGATGCCGTACCGGTGATAATTCCTAGGATCCCTCCTGCTTTGAATTGTAGACTCTATAATCTGTAGAATATGCCCCACAGTTCCAACTGCATCATCGAAGACGTCAATTTCTGACACCTATTACAATGAATTACACCCGGTTAAAAAAGCAACTTTTAAATTAAATAGGGCAGAGTTTAGATGACTGAAACAATAAAGAGTGACCAGGCCTGCTCGTAGGCGAACGATAGACACTAATAAGGCGCTCGGAACGACACCAAAGCGACTTGGTTTCATCAGACATCGCTCTTTTCATCGGCCAGACCCAGTGTAAGTGCATGTATTAAGTTCGTCTGTCTGACACCAAAATTGAATTGGGTCAACCCAAAGTGCAAAAATTTAGAATTTGTAATCTTTATTTTGTTCAGTTCCTTCTTATACGAACTTCAGTAAGTCAGCAGATGGATTCCAGCTTTTTGCCGTGGTTTGATCTCAATGGGAACGGTACCATATTTACCTGGAGAGCGGGCATTTTACATTTTCTGTTGTCCGTAATTTAATAATACGAGGAGGCAATCTGGGAGATGCTGTTGCACTGAGGATATTATGTGGCCTGTGATATCGTCTGTGGCCAGGTATTCTTGTAAATATTTTGGTTGTCTTAACTGATTCAGTTCAAACGACCCTTGTTGGCACTATATCTGGTCCTGTCACTGTCAAACTCCCATTGTGTGGTATCCTGAGAGACGAAAAATCTCTTCAGCGCGTTCTCAGACAAAAATGCTCACTGTGGCCTTGGTAATGAAGCCGAAATTCCATTGCCATATACGTTAGGCAAAATCACAATACTCAAACACTGATCTACTCTCTACCCCGATCTGGTCTGGCCTGATTTAATTCCTTCATGATAGCTGTTCCGTTTTATCCTCATACACCCGATCACAGCAGCGCTCTTTCTCTGTTTGGCGAAACCACTCCCGGGTAGCACCACAAATAACACCTTCCCGCAACCAAGGCTTCCCACTGCTACATAAAGTGACGTGACGTAAGGCACTAGTCACTAGGCGCGGTACAAACTTACAGATGACCTCAGCCCAGTAACAGGGGCACATGTTAGGCGCGCATGGGTGTGTTTCGAGTGCAGTACTTAGGCACTGCTTAGTCACATGTAGCGCGCGCATACCCACCGGCTTGCACGGCTGTGTAAAGGGCGCGCAAGCGATGTTCGGTTGTCTTGAGTCCTGCTCAAGGGCTGATCCTGAGGAGAGGGTCAAGAATCCTTTGCAAGGGTTAAAGTCACCTTGCCTAGCGTGACTTTGCCTAAGTCCCGAGTAGTGCGTGTGGCGTTGAGGGGCTCGGTAGGTTGAGGGGCTAATTGGTGGTGCAGTGTAGTTCCTGATAGGAGCTTGCGGTCGATTGCTTCGACAAGGGCGAATTGCTATCTCGTGACGCAAGTTGTGTGGACTAACAAATTGTAGACTTACTCAAGTCCCTGATTTGGCACTGAATTCCCACAGTTAATAGAGCCGGAAAGTAAAGCGAGCTTCCGGAACTCTCGCGCGATCCGCCTACGGGGATTTTACGTTGGGCCGTCCTATCACATTCGATAATTTCTGGAAGAATAATTTCTAACTGAAACAACCCCATGAAACACTTATGTTGGAATTTTACCTTTGTCTTCCTCAAGTAATAGTTAGGAAAAGTCACCTGGAGATAGGTGAAAAACGAATTTCCTCAACGACCTTTCACGTCCGGCGATATCGTACCCTGTCTCCATGTTCATGCACGTTTATTTTCGATGCCCGTGCTTACGTGAAAACGAGGTTGTACAACCTTGAAAAGATATTATACCTACTTGCAGTCCATGGGTTCCAGATTCCATTGAATTGACATCACGCAGTTGTTGTCAGCAAAGGTTATAATAAAAGATTAGAATTTTCGTAGTTGAAGTAGAATATTGCTTTAAGTTTATTGCTTTGAAATTATAAGACTGTGTAAAATATTTTGATCTGTTTTCATTTCGGCTTTTACCGACAGACTACCATAAAATTTCAGACCGTAAATGTTCATCTGCGTACGAGACTGCCTCAATGCAGTGTCCTTCATGTAGTTTAGATTTTCGGAAGTGGTGGGTCAATTTTTAGCAGGATATTTCTCTTTTAGGTCAGGTGGTTTTTCAGTTTCTATAAATTGATATATACTTATACTAGCAAATATTTTCCAAAGCCCCTTTTCCAAGATGAACCGTTCAAAGGAAAATAACGGTATTAGAAATGTTAACTGATGTAATTGGAGCCGAGTTACTTAAGGAAATCTGATCTGGTCTCACTTGATTAACACGCACCTGACTAAAATGAATGCACTCATCATTAATTTCGGGCATTTTGTCAGACATCTGAAATTCTACAATTTAGAATGGAAATCTTAGGACAAAACAAATAGATTGATTTTGGAAGTCTTACCACAGCAGTCTCCCCTGTTGACTATGGTGATTTGTGTCAGGCAATAGATCCCTTCGAGATCCACCATCCACCACTCATATCCAGAGCACACTGAAAATTTAATATCCGAAAATTTAATATTAAGTGTAAAATTATCATTAGCAATACTGTTGCCCACGTGTTGCTGGAGTGGAGATCAAAAACATAATCAAAATGAAGCACATAAAAACCAACACCAACAAAGATCATAAACCGAACATAATTTTTTTAAAATACAGTTCTTGGAGTCTATGATGAAATGTTTTTAAAATTGAGAAGATTTAAGCTTTGAAGCATTTTTGACCACAAAAACGAAGAGAGAAAATGGGAATCCATTACAGGCAAATGTGTTTCCTTAGTCACTGAAAAGTAACTTATCTGGAAAGTAAGGGTTTAGATCTGCCCTTTTTCTGAGTTCCCAGGATATTACGAGCTAGCTTGCTATTAACGCATCTAAATTGTTAAACTGAAAACATTTACTGGACGATATTAAAAATTTGAAGCATTCTTAAGTATTCCCAGATCCTTTGTGGTCTTAATCATCGCACATTCCTTCTCATCACATTGAATGCAGTGTGATCTGAATGGTGTCGAGAACTTTACCTCTTGTATGGGCAGTGGTGGCAGTATTTCCATCAACTGCTCTGTCTGCTGTCCAATCTTCGTAAGTACTGCTCTGACTGGCTGGTTTGCCAATAATATCAAGTGGAAGACCTGGAGATCAAAGTTTTATTAAGAAGTCATTATTGCTTTCAAAATAACAATAAAGATGTGTTTAAAGGTTGAATTGTTGAAAAGGAAGCTTTATAGTATTTTCAGTATGAATCTGCACATTATGTGGTTGGGTGTAATTGCGGAGTTTTGAATGTGCGGCCCGAATGGCTATAATAAGATAAAAACCGACCACTTGACGAACTCCCAGACAGTCAGAAGGCCTGTTCGTTTCACTTGGATTCTGATCGAGGGCAGTGATCCAACATTGGTTCACTGAATCAACAGCACAAACCAGCTTTGGGATCACTAACTGTACTGTAAGCAATCGTGCGCGGTACATGTACTACACTATACATGTAGGCGTTCTGCCGATTATGTCATCAAATAGGCCTGTGAGCAGAAACGACAAAAGGGGATTTTTTTGTGGGCGGGGCGGAATTTTATTCATTTTGGGGTCACGATTAATGGGTTGAACATTGAATTTATGATTTTTGAAAGGGTTATACATATTTATGGTTATTTTGAAATACTTCAAGTGAGCTAAATGTTTTCTATTTCTGTTAACCTTTAAACAAAATGGAATTGGCCCATACATGTATAGGCTGCCGTAGTGTCTTGATATATCAGGGAAGAAGTGAAAATAAGATGTCCTTTGCTGGAATGTTTTTGGTAACCGTTTTAATTCAGTTGATTAAGGCTGCATTGGAATCTGTTGTCGAGAACTAAATCTGTAAGTCTCCATTCTACTGCATATACGCGAGATGTGACTCGATTCTAGCAGAATCTTTCTCAAAGGCAAAATGACAAGAAGACGGGACAAACAACCAGAAGTTTGATATATTTC